TAACAATAATGTACACAAAGTACAATGAAAATAAAATTATTTAAAATAAAGATCACTGTAAGATGAGGATTAAAAAGATAAAATATTTTGTTCGACTGTATACAGAATGATTGTCTTAAGCATCACAAAAGAATCAAAAGTTTAAAATTTTTTAAAGATTCTAAAGTGGAAAAGTCTTGACCAAGCATGTCATGACAGCTTTATTCATAATGTCAAAACGGAAAACAGCCTAAGAGCCCATCAACAGAAAGAAGCCTGGTTGTAGCACACTGATATAAGGAAATCTACTGAGCATATAGGAATTATTGACCTATTATAGGGGGTGGGAGAGGCAGGTGTGAACTGCATATGATTCCATTTATAGAACGTTTAAAACATAATTGTTAATCCCAGAAAACTGAACTTCCTGATTTTGTAGTGACAAGTGTCTGGGGTATTTGTATGCATCAAAACTCTGCTTATTTGGGACACCTACTCAATTGTCTGCAATCCAGGCATTTAAACAATCTGAGAGATAGAGGGAAATTTCGGCAGACAGTATAAGGCAGAAATATGAGCAATCTTAGATAACAGTTTGCTTGTTACTTTTTCCATTATTGGAGGTGTATTTGTAATGTCATCAAACAGCTAATTTCTTCTTTAAACCATTCGCTTCCAAAGAGTAAAACCATTGATGCAAAAGAAAAAAACACCTCATGCATCTCCCAATCTCAAAGCTCCCTGTGAACTGTAAGGAACATGCGCAAGTTTTAGAAAACACAAGGTACAAACAAACCCATTTCTAACCAGCAATTTTAAGTCTAGGAAAAATTTGCAATTTTTTTTCTACCACAATCAGACCTTTCAATCCTGAGACGTTGTGCCTGTGGCACTGCCTGTAATCCCAGCACCTGAGAGGCTGTGGCAGGGGCATCAGGAAGCCAACCTAACCTAAAGTAAGAAGACTGTCTCTTAAGAAAATGAGAACCAAATAAGGTAACTTAACCAACCAAATCAAGGTTGTTGTCAAAGTAAAAATCAGAGAGGCCCAGACTGCACAGATTCCCACTCCAAGACTGAAGCGCTTGGTCTACTTTTTACCACAGGTTAAAGTACTTAGCTAAACAAACAACTGTACTGGAAGGGAGTGGAGGTGGGGGAGCTAGCATTGTATTTATGAAAAAAATCAAGATCTGGAGTTGAGTAACTTTTGTGGGGTATGTGCTGCAAGGGGTCCATCCAAATCAAGAAAACAAAACTGACAGACATTCTACCTTTGGCTATCCTTGATACTAAAATGCCTTATAATATAGGACAATACAAGTAGTATGTTAATTAACTACACAGAAACCTACATCAAGCATCTTCAATGTAAAGTAAATAGTATGCTGGGCATGATGGAGGCTCTGTGAGTTTAAGGCCAACCTGATCTAAAAGTGAATGAATTCTAGGACAGCCAGAGATATGTAGAGATCCTGTCTCAAAAAAAGAAAAGAAAAGAAAAAAGAAAGAAGGGAGAGGAGAGAAGAGAGAAAAAGTAAATACTGTGAGGGGCTACAAGGATGAGTCAGTGGTTAAAAGTGTCTGCTACTTTTCCAGAGGACCCAAGTTAGTTCCCCTGTCACCCCTTACTTCACACAGCTCACAACCACCTACAACTCCAGCCTGAGGGGATCCAGCACCCTCAGAGGAAACACACACACACACACACATACATACACCACATGCCCATATATAAATACACACATATACACATAAAAGTTAAAAACTAAAATTAAGCTTTAAAAATGAATAATAAATACTGAGATCTCAAAACTGTTTGAACCCTCAAAAGAAAATGTCATCTGAACTCTTCAGTAAAAAGAAATTTCACCAAAATTATACCAGTTAGTAAAAAATACATTGCTAGTAGAAAATAAATTAAGATAATTCCACTTTAAATTGGTACTTAAAAAACTCTCACTGATGAGCCAATGTCGTGCGCACCCAGAATGCCAGCACTCCAGAGGCAGAGACAGGCAGACTTCTGTGAGCTCCAGGCCAGCCTGGTTTAAACAGCCAGGGCAGACAGGGTTGCAGAGTAAAACCCTGTTTTCAAAAACAAACCGAAACTAAAAAATCTGTTTTAAGGGAAGGATTTCCAGACTGCTCCAAACCCAGAACTAACAGCCTTGTCTACATACTCCAAAAGATACAACACACTCCTACAAGTTACACTTTGAGGTTTTGTTATTATTCTTTAAACTTTCTCACTACACAGTAAGCTCTATAAAGTTAAGAATTATCTGCCACCCCAAAGTTTTGCCAGTATTTAACACATTTGGAACTATTACTAACTATAATTTTTAAAATTTTTCATCTAAGAAGACCTTTGCCTACTTCTTATCCTTGAAAAAGCTATTCCAGGACAAACAATGACTATAATAACAGTCAACTAATAGTCAACTAACAAGAATGTTTAGCTACTCAGCCTACAGCTAATGGATACTACATGTAAGCTTTAATGTTATACACATATGACAGTATAGGTTAACTAGAGAATGCCTTTACTGGAGAATTTGATAATTATCGGTTTGTCTATTTGCCACAAAGAAGCTAAAGAACTGGGGGGAAAAGAAAAGAAAAGAAAAGCTGATCAAGGTTAGACCCTCCTAACTGCAAAGTAGCTACATAGGCTGTCTGCAGTCTAATGTGAGTACACAAACTCCAGGTAACCTGTGGTGAAGACAAGCCCTGACGGGAAACAAGCCATCTTTTGTGTGGAACAATGCTAACTAAGTGGAGTGATACGGAGATAGCTGTAAGCAGCATGCTTACATTCGTGAGACAACGTATTACTCGGATTTAGAAAATAAACAGTCTCAGATGATTTATTAAATCAGACTTACACCTTTCATTTAGCCTCAAAACAAGAAACTGTGTAGTAGTACATATCTGAAATCCTAGGGTTTGGGAGGCTGAGGCAGAAGAACCTTGAGCCGGGCCAGACCTGTCTCAAGAAACAGAGAAAATGAATGAGAACTAGGAAAGAAAGAAAAGCAAGACAAGAAAAAGAAACATTATTTCATATAAATCAAGAGCCTTGACTTGCCATCTACTTGGATGAAAGCCGACTTATAAGCCAGTTCACCACACTCAAGTTACTGTCTAATATCCAGCATAGATCCAGTAATCTGTCCACTTCCAAAGGCTGGCACATCACTGTTCATTAACGAATCACAGACACCATTTGCCAAAGCTAAGTGGAAGACTATACAAACACACACACAAGGGACGGTAGAGTTCCCATTTCAAGTTCAGATTAAACTGCAACAACATAAACTCTAAGCAATGGCTAAGTTTTTAAAAAACAAAACAAAAAACAAACAAACAAACAAAAAACCACCCCACAACCTAACAGCTATCCTTCTCCATGAGTCCCAATACTACTTTCTCCCCCAAACACCAAGTAACTTAGGAACTGTGCACTGCAATTACAAACCCAAGTATAGATTATAGCTTAAGCGTTATGTCAAACTGCTGACTCAACATCAATGTTTCACTAACTTTGCCTGTGAACTAGACTGACTTAAACATGTGGGCCTCACTTCATCAACTGTAAAATGAGAATCGCAGTACCTGTCAAGTTATATAAAAAAATACATAAAGTTCTAGGCTTGAGTTTACAGAACTGAAGGAGGAACACCCACTGAAACATACAGCAAGAGGAGCTGCAGGTGTATGTAGCCCAGCAGTGGAGTGCTGACCCAGCAAAACCAAAGTCCTGGTCTTGAGACAGCATCTCAAGACAGAGAAGGCGCTGGAGAGATGCTCTCACGTTAAGCACTGCTTACTCTTCTAGAGTAGCTGAGCACCCATGCTGAGTGACCCACAACTACATGTAACTCCAGCTCCAGGGAGTTGCCCTCTTGTCCCTACACAGACACACAGACAAACACACACCTGGCAAACACACACATGTACTCATGAAAACAAAAACAAAATTTTTTAAAAAGAAAAACTAACATTTAAAAGCGAAGTCTTTGATACTTTATTTTTAAAAGTGTCTTTTAATTTTGTATCTTTCTGTCCTATCTGAATTTATAATAAATGTCTAAGTACACACTTCAAAGGTAATGTTTTAAAGTACATAACCTAATCATCTTTATTTAAAAAAAAAATCAATAAAAGTATCAAGGCAATGAGATTATGACCCTTTTGGTTCTACATTTCTGTGTTTTATAAAAAATATTCTGTGTTTCTAAAAGAAAACAGCTACTTAGAAGGGGGAGGGGCAAAAAAGTAAAGTTCAGCAAGCATTTAGAAATCAGTGCCTATGTGGAGGGTTTCCCCGCCACAGACTTCTTGCTAAATCCTCAAACAACCTATCATCTTTGTCTCTAAGAAAATGAGCTAGCTGAGACAAAAGAAATACACAATCTCTCTCTCTCTCTCCCTTATCATAAAGTACACAGTACCCTTATAACTATTGTCTCCGACTGGCCAGCGGTAGTCTTTCCACACAGATAGTCGACTTCTTAGAAAAGGTGGCGTTTCACAAACTCCATTGTCTTTCGTTGTGTTACTTAAGAATATGAGAGATTCTTAAACACTTGTTGAGTTACCGTACACTTCTTTTGGCCCGGACTGTCCGTCCTCGAGGGACAAAGCCGTGTCGTAAAAACAAAATCAACTAGCCCACGAACGACAAAGCTGTTCCTAAAGCTACTCAAATCCAACTTGTCTCGGACACACTCTGAACTGAAAAAGTTTTAAGTATGCCCACAGCCAGGGTTGACCACTACACAGAGTTTGCATAAGTTCAAGTACCACTCTTGCAAACGTCAAAAAGTGAATTCACACCTCGACCCCCTTGCAAACACCCAGCACCCAGGCACTAAACTTCAGTTCTCCGGGAGAGGTGTGAAAGAAGCACCACCAAGCCCCTACTTGTCCCACTACAACCTGTAACTTTTTTGTCCTAGTCCGATCACCCTCCCTCTGCTCCAAAACCCGTAAAACACAATTCCAAAGTCTCTGACCTGCTGCGAAGTGCAGGGGAGAAGACTTTCGACCGGCCATGTCCTTTGCATTCACGTTCGCGGCGTCCACCAACCTCTTCACCCGGGACACGTCCCCATTTCGACAGGCCTCCAGTAGCTCCCGCAGGGCCCCACTTACGGCTGGGACCCCCGGGCCCAGGCCCGCCGCCCCGGGTCCCAAAGTTGCTGTGGAGCCAACTCCGGCTGCCTCGGGACTCTCCGCTAAGCTCGAGCCAGGGGAGGATGGGGAGGAAGACGAAGATGAAGTCGGGGAAGAAGTGGACGACGCGGAGTTGTTACCGCCGCCGCCGGCTGGGCTGGGAGCGACCCCGACGGCGGCGGAAGCTGCCGGGACAGCGGCCGTAGCAGCCACCGTGCAGACGGCGCCGTCCACCGGGTCCGGAGATCGCGGCCTGTCGGGCGGGTCCCGGCTGCCATCCCCCTCCGGCAGCGCCAGGCCGTGCCGCGGGGAAGCGAAGGGCGCCAGGCCGCCGGCCGTAGGGGAGGCAGGGGTGGGTCCCGGGGCCAAGCCCGGGCTGAGCGGCGGGGGAGGTGGCGGTGGCGGAGCCGAAGCCCCTGGGGCAGGCTGGAGCTGTTGCTGATGATGGTGGTGATGATGCTGAGAGCGACGCGACGCCGCCATCTTCCCACTCCCCCGTACTGTCACTGCGGCAACGGCGCCACCGCCCGCCCTCACTTCCGGATTCTGGACCAATCAGGATCCGACATACCCGGAAATGATTCTTGCCGAAGTGGGTGGAGTCCAAGAGAAGAAGGGAAGTATTGGAAGCTCAGACAGCAACCAGCCTGGGGGCGTGGTTTAGTAGTTGAGAGACTGGCTTTGTGACGCCCTGGCGGGCTGGCTAGGCAGATTTGAAAGTTATGACGAGCCACTACCTGTCTGAGAAACTTCTGCCTTCCTTCACTTTCTGCGGAGTTGCTTTGGACTGCTTCAGTCTTTCCTCAGGTGACCATCAGTCTGAGGTATCTCACTTCAGAAGAAGCTATTAAAGTGTAACTTGTGCAAACATCTATCAAATGTCCTCGCCCGAAAATGAAATTAATAGTACCCACCTCACAAAATTGTTTGTAGGGATGAAGTGAACTAATGCATACAAAACGCTCTGAAGAATACATAACTATAATGAGCACATTGAGAATACTTTTAAATGCAGTGTTGGATCTCTCTACACCTTACAATCTCTTTGGTCTCATTCTGATACAGGACAGGAGGGAAGGATAATCTAATCACACCTTATTCTCTAAGATTGCATTTGTACTTAATCCCGGAGAAAGGAATCCATACGCATACACACTGTCAATAACTCAGTGTTGGGGTCTGAGAGTCGGATTGTTGAACATATATACCCTAATACTGATCAGATCAGGAACATAGCTCAGAATTATCTGAACTAAATCATCATCTTTTTCTGTCAGCCTATAAAGGAAAAAACCACAATGAGGTCATATGCAGGTGCAGGAAGCTCTGCATGGTGGTCGGCTCTGACTTAAGCCATTTTTGACATAACAGTTCGTATTGACCTTTAATTTAATGGGCCCTGTGTAAAGCTTTGTGGAATTCCTTAAGATTAACAAACCTCAGGATGCACAGAACATAACGGGATGTGGCCACATTACCCTTCTCTGAGTCAAACTATTTTTCTATGTCAAAGGGTGGTAGGCGTATTACAGGAACAATATGAAATAGCAGGCAGACATGGAACAAAATGGCTGCAGCTATGCAAGGGGGTAAGGTGGGGGCAGGGTCAGACCACACAACACTCGATTTGTCTATTCAGAGTTAAATCTGACTAAGGATGCCTTGAGAGGCATGCAGTACTCAGTGGTATTGGGAGTATACAAACCTAACAAACCTAACTAGACAGAGAATAAGAAGGGACAGGTGCAAGCAATGGGGGAGGGGGAAAAAACACCAGACAAGAATCTCAGAGACCTGACAGACCACCCAACTACAGGACCAAACTCTGGAATGACTGACTTCTTTGTTCTGCTTTGCTAGCTGGGAGATGACAGGTAAAGCAGGTCTCTAAAATGTTAATCCTGTCCTCTCAGATTACAGACTGAGATTACAGACTGAGTAGAGCAGTTCAAAAATTCACCCTGTCTCTGCTCGTTGGCATTTGTGGCAGTCGGCTGCACAGACTCTCATAGTCTGGTGAGAGGTTTCCCTGTCAGTTTTCTCACTGTGTATTAGTCAGGGTTCTCTAGAGTCGTGGAACTTATTGAATGTCTCTATTTAAGGAAATTTATTGTAATAACTTACAGTCTGTAGTCCAACTACCTCAACAATGAGCAGCTGTGAATGGGAAGTCCAAGAATCTAGTAGTTGCTCAGTCCCCCAAGGTTAGTTGTTTCAGCTGGTCTTCTGTATAAACTGGACTCCTGAAGAAGTAGATTCCAATGGATATGCTGGCAAGTAAGTACAAGCATGCCCAGAAGAGTGAGTCTTCTTTCTTCCAATCCTTATGTAGGCTTCAGCAGAAGGTATGGTCCAGATGTGTGTACCACCATGACTGGATTTGGAACTCACAGAGTCCCAAGCTGGCCTTGAACTTAGATCTGCTTGCCTCAGTCTCCTGGGGTTAACGGCGTCCCTTGTCTGGTCCGAAGCTGTCCATGGCCGCTGTGCCTCAAGATCTGGATCAAAAGTGTATGTCATTCCATGTCAGAAGCTTGTGTCTTCCACCCTCAAGATCTGGATCACAGGTGTACCCTCCACATCTGGATTGTAGTTCAATCCAGATGTAGTCAAGTTGACAACCAGGAATAGCCTTCACTCATGCTCTGTGACTTTGATCGATCCCAGTTTTAAATGGTGGTTCAGACTGTTGAAATTGAAATTCAAGCTTTGTCAGTTCCTGGCTGTGTACATTTAAGCAGGCTATTAACCCAACATTCTAGTTTCCTTTCTGAAAGACCAAAACATTTGATTAACTGTTAATTAAAATTAATATTTTTTCTTATTCTAACTTTGTACTTTTATTTTTCATCTTAATTTTAACTAATTGTGAAAATGGTTTTTTTTTTCTTTTTTCTTTTTTAAGTTTGGCTCTTTCCTCTCCATTACTCTCTACTTCCCTCTCTCCCAAACTAAGATAAAAATGTGATTTCTATCTTCAATGCACCATCAAAATGCCATTTTCTACAGCTATTTTCTTCTCTATCTTTCCTATTACTATAGTTTTTGCGTGACATCAGGAGATGCTCAGTGATTATTGGGATAATCTCAGAGAGGTCTCCACTTCATACCAATTGTTCATTACTCAAGTAGGCACTGTGTAAGCAAATACTAACAGCATTATTCCAATAGAGCAAAGACATGGAGAATCTTTCTTAAGAAAAAAGAATGTGCATCAAGCAGGATACTAAGCCAATGGTTGCTTCAAGTATTCATTATTAAATATAATTATCATGATACTGATATTCCCATTTCAATCAATGAGTGAATTTTGGCATATCTGCTAAATGTCATAAAATCAGGAACATGAGTGGTATTTGGTTTTCGCCAAATCTAGAACTACAGGTTATAAGTCTAACATTATTCCGTGTCTTATACATTTGTGCCCTTTTCCACAGTGACATTTGACAAAGGGTAAGGCAATATTAGAGAGCAAAGTGAAACTAAAATCAGGCCACAACATATACTCTCCTAGTTTTGACTCTTTTTGTGTGAACAAATGATATTATATATATGACCATTTATAAATTTGTAAATCCCTGTGCAGTTCAAGGAATACATTTAAGTACCTTAAAATTTTCAATGGACAAAACTTAAACTTACAATGAACCCAGAAACTGTATTTTTTGTGAACTATAAAGGAGGTTATTACTGCTCTGCCTTAAATTCCTTATCTTATCCAGAATCCAAAAAAGAAATGTAGGCAACCTCCCACCTCCCAAAACTTGTACCCAAAGCATTTCTAAACAGTGAAATCCATAATCCAACTTGTAAAAAGGCATGTCCACTGTTTCCACAGTGCTGTTTGGGTGAATGAAGCAAGAACTGGTAATTTGGCCACCTCTGGATGTTCTAGAATTCTGCAACAGAAATAAATTGTGAGTTGGTTACTATCAACCTCAAGGTATATGAAACCCCATCAATACCAATGAAATAAGTTCTCTTTTCATCATTAAAATTTGGAAAATTCTTATGGTGACAACAGAGCAGAATTGCTAAGTCAGCACTGTTGTCCTGAATCATCTTGATGTCGAGTAGAGGCTAGCATTCAGGAGTGGAGGCGAATCACCACGGCATGTCAGATAGCAACAACTTGCCTTCTGCCCCTTGAGAGTTCTCTGAGAGGGAAACAAAGAACGTCTCATCTGGTCCCCCGGTTGGCCGTTTACCCATATATTGCCAAAAGAAGTAATGGTCAAACTATTTTAAAATGCATTTATTTTGTCTGCTTATCAGAACAAAATAAATAATAAAATCTCTGCTGGATAGAATAAACAGACTGAATTGCCTGAAACTGATCGCAATACATTCTGAAAACGCAGTCAATCAATTGGAAATGGCTTTTTTTCATCCTCGGTGGAGAGCAGAAAAGGCTCTTAATATTAAGTATTTATAAAGTTTATGGGCTCAGGAGGACTAACGTTGAGCTCTAGACTTAAAGGGCAGTTATCACTACCTAATCTGTGGTTACACACAGTTCCATGAGGGCATGCTATAGCATACTGTATAAAAGCAAAACTTAGAGTCAAACAAACGTGACTATGAATTGTATCTCTAGCAATTATTAGTCAGCTAGCCTTGGCAGATGTGTTTCAGCCGAAGAATCTGACTTTACTGGAGCTTCGCCATGAGGATGAGAAAGTCTAACTATTTTGTAAGTGTTCCTTGAATATTAATTCTGTTCCCTTCTGGTGGCACACATAAAACGTTAACCGGAAGTATGGCCACTATTAACAACTTCCTTCTCTCAACTTCTTTTATGACAAAGACAATAGGGAACAAATAGCTACCATTTAGCATGTAACAAAATTCTTAAAATTTTTAAAGAAATATCAATTTGCTTCCTTGTTTGATTAGTTCAGGATTCTTATAAGTCCCTCCGACCTCCAAAAAATGAGAATCACAGTAAAGTAGCATCTTATCATTTTCAAAAATAGTTACACAAAAGTCATGTCCAGTTGACTTAGAAGTATAACCACAGAGCACTCTCCTGGGCCATACTATTGTCAAAAGAAAAAAAAAATCTGCTAACTGGAAAAAAAATCCAACTTTGTTCGTGGAATGTAATCTAATATTTGGGTTTTCTCCCTGGTAATTACATGAACTCCTTTTGAAGGTTACACCATTTGGTATGGGTCCCATATTTCATTCTCAGCCAAACTTGGTTTGATTATTCTATCCATGTATTGCCAATTGATCTGACCCAGATGTGAGTTCCCTAGTCGTGTTTCAGATCTATGGAGTCCAGTTACTCTTTGGAGCTCTGTATAATGCTTCCTTGCCAAGTCCACCAATACGAGGCAGAGCTGCAGCTTAATCAGGGCCGTACCATTTTCTTACCTTAGTCTTCGAGAAGATTCCGAGGCCAGAAACACCCATGGTACCACTGGCTCAGATTTCTCTAGAAATGTGTTACTACCTTCTCTTAGCTAAAGTTCCAACCAGAAATCTATGAGTCATAAC